GGCGCAGGGGGTTTGGGGGGGGGGGGGGCGCTATGGCAAATTTTAGGGAGGCTGCAGCCCCCCCCATAGCTCCCGCTCCACTGCTGCAGTGCCTCTGGAGAAGTGGCGCACAGCAGCGGGAGCTGCCCTGGCCTCCCTGCACCTCCCAGACGAACAGCAGCTTAGTCCCATGTGCCCCCACCCTGCCCCAGCAAGTGCGATCAGTGGCAGGGCATGGTGGGGGATGCCCCTTACAAAGTTTGAGAACCCTTGTCCTAAGATTTATGAGTTTTTGTAAATTTTAGTCAACGACTCTGGAACTTGCTGCTGGCACAGTGTATCTGTGTTACCACAGACTCTGTCTTCTAAGCACCATCCCAGAATCATTAGCAAGCAGGCACTTCTTTGATTCTAAAAACTGTAACTGCCTCCACCTAACAGTTCTTTATTTTAAAACAATGGATTTTCCAATTTTAAAAGAACCAAACACACTTCACTGCCATGTGTAGAAAAAGCACACATAAATGGACCTTTGCCTTGGTGAACTTGTTTTTATAAATTTGCCAGAACCAAACACACAGTGGATCACTTTATCCATTAACTGCAGCTCATTATTACCATTAAAGCACCTAGTGGATTATTTTTTAGCATAGCCCTTTGAAGGTGACACATTTATGCATACACAAGGTTACCAATCCTTACAGTGCTGGTAAAAAGAGCTTTGTTCTTGCTATATAAATGGGAACTAGAATTAATATTTACAGGATACAAATAAACAAGGAAGCAAATAAATTATTATTCATTTTCTTACCAGAATGTTTTTAATGGCAATTTTCATCACTTTTTCAGCTTCATTTATCTCCAGAGGCCTAGCAATGGATTCTGTTCTCACTTCCTACAAAAGACAAACAGACCACTATACTCAAGCATTGCACAAGAAAATTACTATTCACAGAATTGAAGGTGGTCAAGCAACTGTGACAAAGCTATTTTCATAATAAATTAAACAGAATGTAACATTTATATACCACTGCTCAGAGGATATCACAAAATGGGAACTTATCAAAAAGGTCAGAGTCTCCAGAGGCCAGGATTAAGAATGAGCAATTAAAACTTAATTTCAAAATGGGATGAATTTTATTCCTCTGAGCTCAACGTATCCTTACGGGTGCAGTTTTAGTCCCCTGCCATTAATGTTAGAGAAAATATCCCACTTACCTTGTTCAAAACGTGCCTCAGAAAAAAAAATTGCCTTAAAAAGGTGATCCACAGCTGAGAATCATACAACTGATCTACTTGAATCACAAGCATAATGTTTCAACTATCCTGACTGAGGAGCAATCAGAACTGCTCCTATTAAGACAGCTAGCAGAAACAATCAGCAGGTACTTCCCCCTCCATGACTCCTCACATATCACGTAATGTAGATGATCAGCAGTTCCTACTCTGAGAATCAACATCCATCACCAAAACTGGTGCACTTAGCTTGGATCACAGAGGATGTGAATGTCCCTGTTAGCCTGGTCAGTTTATGAGGGAAAGAACTTTCAGTTAACATCTGTCTGTATAATATCTTAGGCAAAGGTGTTTGCCAGACCAAGCCATTCCTGAGAAATGAATGTGTCTCAAGCTCAACATAATTAAAAATGTCTTTCAATAGCAAACAGCTCGATAAGAAGTAGAAATCTCACTACAACCATAGGCAGAATATATAAATTTAGAGGACTTCAGCAATACCCCAGCCTCTCTTTTTTACTAGGCTGCTCCTTAAGAAAAGGGGAAAATAAAGAGGACACATATTTGAATGACAACCTAGTAATACCTTGCTTATTTATAGAATGGCTGACCCAGAATCTCAAAGGTTTTGCAAATGTCACTGTTTTAAGCCTACCCTATGAAGTAAGTATTACAATCTCCATGATATGAATGCAGAAACAGAGTAAGTGACCTACCCAAGCTTACAAAGAAATTTATTGGCAGAACCAGGCATAGTACCCTGGTCTCCTCACCTGCAGGCCAATGTCTTAATCCCCCTACTTGCTAAAAAGTGCCTGTAGTCCACTGCCCACTTCAAGGCTTGATTTAATGTAACTACATTTTATAGGGAGACAAATTGCAAGGTCCTTATTTTGGTGTTCTTCTGTCTTTTAAGGGCTTGTCTACGCTTGAAAACTAATTTGGATTAAGGTAGGATGTGAATTTGAAGCAAATAATTCCATGTGTGAATACTCTAATTCCAGAATAAAAGTGCTTTGCTCCCATTCACTTTTGAAATGAATAATCTAAATTTTAAAAGGCACTATAATTTTCCAAAAGCAGTCTCCCTGCATGGAGTTATTCAGGAATATGAAGTATTTCGTATTTCAGGAGAATGACTGATATGCAGTAATTCAGGTATGCAGTATCTATGTAAGTCTAATGTGTTCTTCTCTTCTGCCTTTCTTTACTGTGCATGGAAGTTTCACTCATCCCTCCTTTGCAGAAATATACAGCAATTTCCAGAGCCAGGTACAATTCTGCAATCAAATCCACTTGCAGAGATACCCTATGACAACAGGAATCTGCACAAATGCAAAGATCTGCATTTCCACATTTGACTGATGGACTAGGCCCTAGCTGGAACAGAGGAACATCATCAGAATTATTTAACTCCCAAAACTCAGGAGTGACTGGAAAGAAAGCCTGAGAATTCAAGTAAACTTTCACAGTTTCTTCAAAAGGTACAACAAGGAAATCAAGCCCTGATTCGGCAAAAACTTACATGCATTCTTAATTTTAATATTGAGAATAGTACCATGTGACATAAGTAGGATTATTCCCTACAGTACAATTAATTAGGTGTGTAAGTGTGTGTAGGATTGGAACCTAACTCTTAGGTTAAATGTTCAGCAATAACAAGTTTTCATAAATATCTGTCAGATGATCATGTTCTCTACAGCTGTAAAGGGTCCAGAGGGTGCTTCTAGCTTACTGGTATTTCTCAACAGGAAGTTAGGCTGTGTAGGATAGGACTGAAAGGAAAGTAGCTCCCATTGATCTGCTGAAAAACAGTGACTATCAGAACTATAAGGGAAATTTTACTTTAAAATAAATAAATAAGGGTTAATATAGCAGTGAGTGCATCTACACATGCGCTTTACTGCAAATGACTAATTAGCTCCTCAGTAAAGTGTCACAGTCTACACATGCACCTATAATAGCTGCAGTAAATTAATGAACTTCACTGTAGGATAGCACTGTCTGGGACAAGTACTGTCCTATAGCGGAGTAATTAGGTGTACGCAAATGCACATGTAGACTGTGACCAGGGTTGGCTGGGGCACAAAAGTGCTGCCTGCCACCTAACACCACACTGTAGCACCCTCATGCCCCAGCCAGCCCCTCCGCCTCCCGACACCACCACCCAGAGCCCTGGGATGACCCCCCAAATCCCCTGACAGCCTGGGGCTGCTTAGCCCCAGCTCAAATTGTTGCAGTCCTGGACACACGTGAAGATGCTGTGCCTTGGAAGCAGCTGACTCCAGCGCAAACTGCACCAGGGTTTACAGGTGCATTAATAGCACATAAGCTGGGCTTAAAATTATCAAATTAAGCAAAGTATTTTACTGGACTTGTTTTGAGAGCGACTGCTTTTCCAGGCCCATGGGCAAGTTTCTCTCAGGGCCTTGTCACACAGGTGTGGGATGTGACTTCCTAGATAGAACATCTGGGGGAAATTCTGCTCATGACCATCTGCTTTCTTCTCTCTCTCATTTGCAACTTCAGAGCATCCCTATGGCAAATACATGTTTAGAAAGTAAACTTGGGGAACACACACGCGCGCGCGCGCGTACACACACACAGAGTGGGCTTTTTAATGGCATGTAGTGGCTGCAAATAGGGAAGAGGAGCTATTGTTATATGATCAGCCATCCTTCCACAAGCTACCAGGGGTTCTCCAAGCAGAGTTTAGGAACAACTGGTCTATTTGTTTCTATTCTTTCATTGTATCATTCACTGATATAATCTAGGTAATTAGCTCTGATTTGTTCTACAGGTTGGATTTTCTTTCTCTCTGCAGCCTGCAAAAATGGGATGACTGGCTGAGCTACAGATGTTAAGCCCACCTATAATAATGAAGGTCCCGCTCTACAAACTGCTGTTCCTCCTTGGCAGTGCCAAGTGCTCTTGACAGCCACTGAAATCAACAGATGTTAAGGCTACAGAGGCCTCTCAAAGGGTTGGCTACATAATTTTCCCTTTAGGACCTAACCCCAAGCCCACTGACATTGATGGAAAGGTCTGTAATAATCCTTTGTGTTCCTACAGACCTCTTCATTCAAGAACTCTGAAAGGCACCATAGAACTGGTGAACTCAGCCTCCCACCATCCTTGTCAACCAGATGTTTCTGCTGTAACACATGAGCATCTTCTGTTGTCATTGGCTGCCATCCTGCAGGCAGAGGCAATTCTTTGATCAGTTTGACAGGACTCTTGCTATTAATATCTGATTAATACTCAATCCCATCTATCAGATGCACCCACCTGGCTTCCATTTTCTGTGGTGCAGAGGGATTGTCTTGGATATCACCCATTTCCCTTGAAGCTGCTTAAATAGGAGCCAGCCTTTAACTTGTTCTGAGCAAGTACATAGTAAAGTTTACTTGGGCTGTGCAAAACTGCACCATTCCGATTTGACTTCTATTTTGACGATTCAATGGAACAGCGTTTCATTTCAAGTTTTGTTTAATTTCAAAAGCACTGTTCCATTTTATTTTGTTAAAACTGTTTTGCTGTTTTGATGAAGTTTTGCCCATAGGTTATTATGGGGAAACATAAAATGCAGCAAGGAGGCAGATCAGAGGCTTGCCCACACCCCTGGGAGCTGTGGGGGCTGTGCCGGAGTCCTCCCAGGGGTGCAGGCCACCAATCTGCCTGCCATATGACAGACCAGGGCTGGGCATAACCCGCACCAGAAAAATCGGTGCTGATGCTGGCTCCAGGTGGCAGCACCTGGCTCCTGTCACCCGGCAGGCAGATCGGGGGCACGTACTGCCAGGAGGACTCTGGCACAGCCCCTGCACCCCTCCTGGGGGTGCTGATGGGCCCCTGATCTGCCTGCAGACTGACAGGAGCTGGGTGCTGCTGCCTGGGGCCAGAGGCAGTCAGGGCCGTCCATGACGGGGGTGGAAATTGGGGTGACCACCCCAGGCCCTGCGCTCTGGGGGGCCCTGGGGAGCCGGGCGGAGTGGACACGGTGACTTTGCACTGACACCGTTGCCGGCTTGGGGTATGGCCGCTTGCTACCTTCCCTGCCGCCAATGGTGGTGGCTTCTTTGCATCCAGGGCATGCAGGATTGGGGCAGGGGTAGTTCCCTGCACAAACTGATTTGCCCCAGGCCCCATACCCTCCTTGGACTGGCTCTGGCACAGGACCTGGGGCATATCAGCCCATGTGGGGACCCGCTGCCCCGATCCCGGGGCGGGAGAGGGTCCCTTGATGAGCTAATTTGCCTCAAACTTTGCACCCTCCTCGGACCGACTCCCGTATGCAGCTGGGGCAGATCAGCTCATGTGGGGACCCTCCCCCACCCCGGGATTGGCGGTGGCAGTGGAGAGGTGGGGAGGTAGCGAGCAGTCAGACACAAAGCCAGCGGTGAGTCATCACAGCCACTCCGCCCAGCTCCCTGGGCCCCCCACCCAAAGCATGGGGCCCAGGGCGGTTGCCCCAATTCCGCCCCCCCAGGGACGGCCCTGGATGCCACTGGCCCCAGGCAGCAGCACCTGGCTCCTGTCAGCCAGCAGGCAGATCGGGGGCCTGCTAGCACCTCTGGGAGAGCTGCAGGGTCTGTGCTGGAGTCCTCCCAGTGGTGCGTACCCCTGATCTGCCTGCCGGCTAACAGGAGCTGGGTGCTG